AAAAAATATATCATTGAAAATAAATATATTTTATGTTTTGTTTGTTAATAGTTACTATGTAGTAAAGATGCCAATGTCAATTTAGTTGACAAAGATGGTGATACATGTCTTCATGAAGCTTTAAGACATCATACATTATCACAATTAAAACAATTACAAGATGTTGGAGATAGTGGAAGAGTTTGTAGTCATTTAAAAATTAAATTATTATATAAACAAATATTGATTTTTTTTTTTCATTAGTTAATGAATATTTTTACAAGTTCAAATGGTTATGAAAAACGACCAAGTGTAGCTATTGCTTGTACATTAGTTATGCATGGTGCAGATTTGTCTGCAAGAAATAAAAAAAATCAAAAACCCTTTGATCTATGTCCTGATCCACATTTATGTCGGATGTTAACTCAAAAATATATGTATGTTAAATTAATTGAAGTTTGTGAATATTTATTGATGCATTGTGTTTGCTTTTTTTTTTTATAAAGAGAATATAATCGAGAGCATAATAATGATCAACAATTATCTCCAAATAGTAGTTTAACTGAATGTCTTGTTTGTTCTGATAATGAACGAGATACATTATTTCAACCATGTTCACATGTTGTTACATGTCATTTATGTGCTAGCCGAGTTAAAAAATGTTTATTATGTAAAGAAAATATTCAAACAAGAATTCAAGTAAATAAATAAATATTTTATGTGTTTAAAATCTATTGGATTTTTTTTTGTCGTGTAATATAGATTGAACAATGTAAAATATGTTCTCAACGTAGAGCATCTGTTATGTATAAACCATGTGGACATCTAATTGCTTGTGAAGGTAAATCATATAATATTTTATATACATATATATATTTATCTATTTAATTCATAGAATGTGCTGGTCTAATGGAAAAATGTTTTGTATGTCGGGTAGCAATTGATTCAATAGTATCATTCAATGAACTTTGCTGTAGAAATAATGATAATCTTTCAATAAAATCCGAAACATTAACACCACCAATACCAACATCATCGAATGATGTAAGCGATGCAGTAGCATTAGCTCGTTTACAACAACAATTGCAAGAAATTCGTGAACAAGTTCATTGTCCGATATGTATGGATCGATTAAAAAATATGGTCTTTTTATGTGGCCATGGTGTATGTCAAAGTTGTGGTGATCGTGTACAAGAATGTCCAATATGTCGAAAACCAATTGAAAAATCTATTATTTTATATACATAGGATTACAAAGAAAAAAAGTAATCGGCTTATCCATATATGCGCAATATTTTTATTCGTTTTGTGTTTACTTGTATTGTACAACAAGGAATAAAAAAGAGATTATTTGTCTGTTTTAATGTCAATGTGAATGTTTTAATTAATGCCTTGTTTAATATGTTTTAGAATGTTTGAGTAAATTAATTATTGGTTTGTGTTGATTTATTATTTGTTAGTTGATTGATCATTGCTTGAATTTGTTGATTGAGAAATATTACTAATGTCTAAATTATTAATTGAAAAGTTTAATATATAATTTTTGAGGAGAAAAAATAAGATATGAACTTTTCCAAACTGACTAAGTTATAGTTTATCGAAGAGAATAATTTAGATCGATTAAGTACTTCTTTTCGAATGATTCAGAAAGAAGTCAAAATTGTTTATAGAGAATAAAGGAATCAAATGACATTCATGAATAATACTGCAATAAATAGTCTATTTACTGGTCTCAGTTATGTCTACTAGAAACAGCGAAGAACAAATATAAATATTTAATGGATCCTATTTAGGAAGGTTTTATTTGGAAATTTTTCATCTCTCGAAATGACATAGACAACAGCTTGATGATAGTGTCAATCACATTGGAAGTTAATTCAACTAATTACTAGGCGTTATCTGACTGTTTCTACAATGTATGAAGGATTGACAAAATACGAGAACTCTTGCAAATATTCGTCGGTAGTAGTAGCTGGCAAATAACAATTAGATAATATATAAAAATATAAATTTTCTCATAGGCTTATCGTCCGTTGCGGCCAGCTGTTAGGGTCCACATGCAGCCGGGTTCTTTCATCTATTTCTTTTTATAGACGTCGGTATCTGCACCCGTTCCGTCCAACATATTGATTAATGATGTAATCAACACACTAACGAATGAGTCATTCGAAATAACTAGCCGTTAGTGACTTGTTCAGGATCATTCCATGGATGATGATACTGAGGTGTGAACACAGTACCTTGTGGATACGTGTCGAACAACGTAACCACTCAACCATGAAGGATAAATAAGAGTTAGAACTACTTTGAGTTCTGATTTATTCAGCAAGTTTTCTGGAAATTGATAGCAACGAAACATAATATATAAGAGATTTGTAATTGTATACGTACTATTAAGCTCTCGTGAAAATGATAAATAATAGAAATAAATGTGTAATTCTAATTGAAATCTATCTGACGAGTGCTTCATCTTGTCATCTTTACGTATAGTTTGAATAAAATAACTTATTTTTTATTCTGTCTTCTTGTTAGAGTTGAAGTTAACAAAATTAAGGAATTCATCTTTTACTTTAATTATCTATCAAATAGGTTGAGAGCCTGTAGACTCTCAGACTTATTATGTCATCTATTTAAATAAAGTACATTAACCTTTCACTGAGGGTGACGACAAGTTTATTGGTTTATTCTAACAAAAGAATGATTTAATATATACTTTTCGGGTCAAAAATTCTGACTGGAAGATTTGCTGAAACTGCTAATCAGTACACATTGCTTATCTTCGAAAAGCTTTGGTCAAAGTATAAGAAAGTTTCATTCTTTCAAAATATGCGTCCATCGACCGAAATACCCTAACTCAAAAAATTTTATTTATGTGTACATTGCAAACTCGGGTTTCTCACTCTAAACTGACATTTTAATGTTATCAATAGTTACTATAATGGGACTATGTTTAATCATACTTTATGATTTTATAGGAAGTCCATCGGAAATACTACAGATTTTCACAATCAGAGTTCATACATTCTTTCAGCTAAAATCCCCTAGAGTTCGAATGATGGATCTTTTCATAACATATAAGATTCATCAGAGATTCAAAAACGTTGGTGGAAACCCATACGAATTTTATCAGCAACCAACAGAGGAAATTTCTATCGGTTTCTACAGTTGGATGTCGTCGAATATTCATCAGAATTTGAATGTCGAATCTATTTAGTGATTCTGTAAACTGGATTCCCATTGAATACTATAGAACAATCGGGTATCACGAAATCCAATCGGATGTATTCATCTTGGAATGTTCTTTTGTGAGACATGAACATATTGACAATTACAATTGATATTTGTGTACAAGCAAACTTATTTCATATATACTTTTGCGATTGTAAAAAGAACCATTGCAAATATATAAAATAAAGAGAAAGCAAGAGTTAGATGGTTATTACTCTTTATTGCTTTCGAATACAACAAGTTAAACTTTTAGCGCACAGGTTAATTTAATAAAAAACCAATCTTTTATGTCACAATGAATATGAAAAAATAATTTAGACGGACATTACACAGATCTGAAGACTTGTCTTTCTTTTTTATTGAATGAGATAGTACTTGCTACTAACAGCCATATTGTAGTAAGCCCGGTTTGCAAGTCGAGAAATATTTCCATACTTCTAGGCACTAAAATTATAAAAATCAATCACATTGTTAATAGACCTATACACTGGATATAATCTAGGCAATTAATGTTGTAGTTTGTTTCAAATATTATGATGAGAATATTTATTTATTGCAGAAAGATCGAATTCGTCTACAAGAACAAACATCTTTATTCATATTTGATTCGGTAAATGTTGCCATCTAATGAAACACCATTTCGACAGACCTTCATTCCCTTTCGGGTTGAAACGATCAATAGGTAGTTGTCTTTTGATTCATATATATATTGATCTCTCCAGTGAAGTAAACACTCGTCTGAGCAAAAACGTAGCCCAGAACTCATGTAGCTGATGGCTCTCAGTCTGAAAATGTTCTAAAGTGTGACACTCGACGGTTTTTCAAAATCAATAACCAAATGAAAATATTTGAAATCGATTCGAAGAAAACAATGGGAGACGCATAAGACTGCAACGCGCCTCACTGACTTTTATTTGATCTAGCATTTTGAAACATACATAAAACGATAGATCTTAGCACAATGAACATTCTGTTGCTAAATTTAGACGCATTTCGGTGCCATGTCACAGAAAACTTTGTTTCCAGTTTCTACAGTGGTCTAGTGCTTTGTCTCGTACATGAATGTATGTAAGCGGACCTGTATACATGGTGTATATCGACTAACACTTCGGGATTTTTTCATTATAACTAGACAGTAGATAATAGTCGAGATCATCCAACTTGACGAATTGACTATATCCGAAACAATGGTCATATCATCGTAAAAAGCCATAAAAACTAGACAATTTTTAGCATTGTTTTCAGAATATTTCGAGAACGACAAAATACTTGTTTCTGCTTTTTTATAATATAGCTAGAGAACAGGTTAGCATTGAAAATGATATCAAATAGTAGGGACTAATAGGCTGAGCACTTGAAAAATGCTCAAATACATTTTTGTTGTAGCATCATTTCTCATTTTTTTTAGATCGGTATTTAGCCTTTTTCGGTTGGACATCGTAGATTTGAGACAAACGTGATGTGACAGAGCAGTGATCACGTACATGTGAGACGGCGAAAAGCTTTCCAATCGTCTGGCGATTAGCGTATCCACCTGGTAACCTGAAGAGGTGGATTTGAGTGTATGGGTGTCAGTAGATGAATATTAACTACAGCTAACCCATCTATCAAACTACAGGCACTTGATATAACAGTTTTACATCAGTTCCTGGAACTGGTTCCACTAATAACCAATTAGTTTATTGGTTAATAAGTACTCGTCGATGAGTCATCAATGAGTACGTAACGACTAATTAAAAACTCATTAATCGCTGACTAGGACGAAATCAGTATCAGTTCCAAAGGACGGGAGAAGCATGCCTACTCAGTTCTTTCGAATTCTAACCGTTACACTCCTGGTCTCAACAGAACTTTCAACATGCATGATTGTCGTTGAATACAAACATATGGCGATAGTTGTCAGAAGAAAATTTTCTTTTACTGAACTTTTCCGAAATTAAAGTACTAGAAAAATATATTTGACATCTCATAGAAAGTACTTTACTTCTGTACTTACCACTTATCCACATGTTCACTACCGCTCGAATCGCACCATGCATTCAATAATAGATCGGATATCACTCCCACTAGTTCATGTGCGATAGAATTCAATATGGTGTCAACACTAGTGTCATCATTAGATGAAATATTCTAGTTGTGGACACTGCACCTGATCATACACTTTTGTAAATTTTCTATAAATCTGTAGAATGTATGTTGTAGTTCTAGCAGAGAATGCCGAATGATATCCGCAAAAATTGACACAGAAACATGAAGTTTTTGAATAGCTTTCCTTCACATCTCGAAAACTGAGCACCAAGTAGATACGCTTTGTATCACTTGGCAGTTATTTGTTCCAAAGATTTTTTTAAATAAAAATTTTAGCTTTTCGTAAAAATCTTTTTATATTTGTTTAAAATAAATGGACTAGAACAGAAAAATGTTAGCATTTATTCTTTCAATATTTGAACATGTTCAAAGTCAGATGTCGCATGTATGGAGTCATTATTCTTATTGTTTGGTTTTAGAATCAACACGAGAATTTTTAAAACAAGTAATAAGTGATTTTACTATCAATAAAATCTCACTCTCTTACAATATCAACACTTTATGGTGAAAAAGAACATTCTCGACAAGAATTATCATTAAAAAAAGATTCAAATATTTTTATGAGTATATCAGATAGTATTAAAGGTATTTTACATCGGACAAAAGAATGGTTTCTTCTTCAATGTCAAATTATTGTTTTAGATGAAGTTGATCGAGTGCTTGATATGGATTTTTAAGTGAAATATTTTATTTATTTATTTATTTTAGGATGATATGAATTTTATCGTAAAAAAATGTTTGACAAGAAAAAGAAAAATTTTAAATGATTATATTTCCAGCAACAACTCCATTATGGTTACAACGAATGTATCTTGTTATACGTCATCAACAAACAAATGTTCAACATTTATTAGTTAAATTAAATAATATTTTCAAAAAAAAATCAGAAATTATTTTAACATATTTAGAAAAATATTCAAAAGATATTAAATCAAAGTTAAGCTATTGTATTTTGTCAAACAAGGGTGTGGGTGCGAGGTATGCGCATCGATGGGTCTTCTTTCTGACCACATCCACAACTGAATTACTGATGTCGTTCATGAAGAACTTGTTAAAGTATCAGCCAATGGTAGAATATATCAAATTATTTTTCATCTATCTTTTCTTCTTATTTCATTAATTTTAGGTGATACAAGAAGAATAGAAGAATTAATTAAACGAACTAATGTTGATGTAATTATTTTCAATAAATAAAATATTTCTTATATTCTTATATGTATTTATTATTATTGTTAGGTAAATGGTATTTTTGCTGGACATACACCATTACAAGCAGCAGCTCAAAATGGACATTTAGACATTATTCGTTTACTTATTCAACATGATGTTAATTTAGAAATTGAAGTAAAACAAATAAGAAACAAAGAATCTTATTTATTTGAATATCTTATCTAGGATAAAGATGGTGATCGAGCTGTACATCATGCTGCATTTGGTGATGAAGCTGAAGTATTAGAATTACTTGCAAAATCAAGTGTTGATTTAAATGCTCGAAATAAAAGACGACAAACAGCATTACATATTGGTAAGTTATTCTTTTAAATTTTATTTAGAAAAAAATTTTTTTGTCAAAAGTTATAAATAACAAAAAAACAAAATCTGAATAAATCTTAATCACTTGTGACCTTGATATCTTCTAAAACAAAGATGTGTCAAGAAATGAATAAAATCAATGATTAATCAACTACATAGTTGTTTATTTAATATGAGTAATAAAAAAAAAAAGAACAAGTCAAGCATTTCCTCTCTATCTAAATTAATATATTTATAAAATTATGAATACAAATATGAAAATTTTATCCTAAAGCATATTCTTTGTTTATTTGTTTTTTTCTTTACAGGTGTTTGTAAAGGTCATTTTGATGTATGTAAAACTCTTTTATCAAATGGTGCTCATCCTGGAATACAAGATTCAGATGGTGATACACCATTACATGATGCTATATCAAAAAGACGTGATGATTTAATTATTATTTTACTTGAATATAATGCTGATGTAGCTACATGTAATAACAATGGTTTCAATTCAATTCATCATGCTGCTTTACGTGGCAATTCATCGTAAGTCATTAGATCTTATCTTTGTTCTTTTTTCTTTTTCTCATTGTTAAACGAAGAAACGGTCAGTCGGCAGAAGAACAGATATCACACATCTGGACAACAGTCTTCTTCTTTTTTTTCTGATTCTAATTCACATAAACATGTTGATTGACCGATTGAAAAACAATAAAAGAAGTTGATTCTCTTTCCATATGTTTTTTTTTCTTC